GATTTTCGGTGGGACTGACATGCAACTCGGTAGGACCGATTCGGTTAGGGTTTGGGCATAACGTAATCTCGGTGAGACCGATTACACAAACTCGGTGAGACCAAATTTGGTAATTAGCTAACCAGAGAGTTGGTCAGGCAAACTCGGTGGGACCGATTTGCTCTTTTGGTGAGACCGAGTGGAACTCGGTGAGACCGAAAAGTTACAAAGGGGAAACACTGAGTTTACATTGCAATCTCGGTGGGACCGATTCGCTCTTTCGGTGAGACCGAAAATTTACGAAAGGGAAACAGAGAGTTTGCAACCCCATCTCGGTGAGACCGAGATCCTTATCGGTAGGACCGAATTGCTAGGGTTTGGCAGTGGCTAATGACAAGTGAAACTCGGTGGCGCCGGATAGGAAGAATCGGTAGGACCGAGTTTGGCTTGGGGTTTAGGTCATATGTGGATATGGAAAAGTAGTTGAGGGTTTTGGAGCATATCACTAAGCACATGAAGCAAGAGGCTCATTAAGCAACACCTCATCCCTCCTTGATAGTATTGGCTTTTCCTAAAGACTCAATGTGATCTTGGATTACTAAAATATAAAATGAAGAGTCTTGAGCTTTTGAGCTTGAGCCAATCCTTTGTCCTTAGCATTTTGAGGGTTCCACTTTCACATCCATGCCATGCCAATCATTGAGCTTTCCTGAAATAATCATCTTGGAATAGCATTAGCTCAATGAGCTATATGTTGTTATGAATTACCAAAACCACCTAGAGATAGTTGCACTTACAAGTTTGTGTTTGAATTTTCACACGCACATGTTTCAATTTACCAAACATTTGTTCCACATGACCTAAATATATGCTAACTACCTTATTTATGATATTTCTTCCAATTTTGATCTTTTTAATGTACTTGCAACTAAAGTTTGAATTATATTCATTTAAATACAATTTTAATCATAGAATGTCTGAAATATAGCAAAATTTGAACTATAAATTTTAAATCCTTTTTCGTACAATGCCATAAAAACACAAAAACCAAAAAATATACACAAAACAAAAAAACAAAAAAAATGTCTAAATAGTATGTCGGTGTTTGGCTATTCTAGGGGACCATTGATGGCAACGCTTGCTCCATGGCTAATTGGGCCAGATTGGGGCCCATATTAGTTGTGGCAGACGTGGAAAAGGGTCCGCCATTGCTATCATAGATACTGACAGGTCTTTCTACGTACTCACCACTAGTAATGCTTGGCCCATGGCTAACCAAGGACCATATTACTAGTGGTGGTTGCCCCTTGTAGACCTCCACTTGTAAGCTGGTAGCAGTCACAGGCAGGTTTTCTTGCCCGTAACTGGACACTTGCCTGCCACCGGTGAGAGTCCACTTATAAGCAGTTTCCCAGTAGTGTTTGTTCCATGAATTCAATACTACATTTACGTTGCTCTTAATGAAAAAAAAGGAAAAGTTTTTAGCTTGACATAATCAGCCGCAACTTCTTTATAGTTCTGCACATCATAAAATTCAACAAAATCATGCAAATGATTAGCACCATCTTTATTAAAAGTTCCAGCAAATAGTTCTTTCATTACTAATAAGTTCAACAAAGCACAACTAATTTCAAAGGAACCAACCTTAGTTTCAAGTAGAGTAATGGATGTATCATGAAGTCATCATTATTTGTGGTTGCCAAGTCACACAACTTAGTATTTTCACCAGAAATACTCATTGTATCTAAGTAAAAGGAAACTACTACGTTTTTTTAAAGGAGGAAGACCCCCGGCCTTTGCATCTGGACGATGCATGCAGCCACTTTATTAATTATTCACATAAGACCTTACAAAGCAATACAACAGTAAGACTAAAGACACCGTTTAGGCAATATCTGTCGCTACTCATATCGAGTTGATGAAGGGATGCTGATAGTCTGGACCTAATATCAAACAGACCTCACAGCCAAACCTAACATCTAAGACCTGAGACCCCAACCAGGACGCCTACCGGGTATGGGGCACCCACCGGTCCGGCACACACTCAGAGGCCGCTGCCGCCACCTGCCACCAATCCATCTTCAGAGCTGTACTGTTGCATCTACCTTGCCCGGTCTAGCTACCGTCGACGCCACCACGACGCCGGACAGCGTCAGCCTCCTGCGCGAGTCCATCATCGCACATCAGACGCCTAATCTCCAGGGCGCCATGCCATCGAGATTTGTCACCATCAATGTGTATGACGAAGCACCGCTCCACCAAAGACGTCGTCCACTGGTCCCTCGAGCCCGCGTACACCTCCAAGAAAGAGTCCCCCAAGAGGGAAACGACACAATTGCACCGTCGTCTTCTAATCTATCGATATAGGGTTTCCCCGGAGGTAGCAGATAGTAGTCTAGAACTTCTTCACGGCGATGCCTTCAAGAAGGGAACGACACCGTAGAGCGCCACCACCATCGACTTTGGCATCTAGCCAAGAGCATGTTTTCACCCAGATCTGTTCGAAGAACTCCATCCAGCTTCTTGTGCACGAACCGCCGCCTTCTCTGTCAGAGACTAGACCAAAAGGATCCAGCCGCCGCTGTCAGATCCATGCAGACAGCACCGAGAGATGACGACAGTCTTCCTGTACCGGAGCTAGCATGAACCGGAGCAGATCGAGTCAGGACGATGATACCCCTGGAGCTCCGGCAGACCAGTGAACCGCCGGCACCACCGCGTCCAGATCGCCGGCCACGCCGGGCCGCCGCCACCCCCCATGTCGTCTGGTAGTCACCAGATCCGGGATGTGCCGGAACCGGTCGGACCAACGAGCACGCCGCCACCAAGCCATGGGGTCGCCGACCCGGTCACCGGCGCCCCTGTGCAGTCAGCCGATTCCCATCGGCACCACCGCAGGCGCCGCTGCTGGGACGCCGCGCCGTCGTGGGCCAAAGTGGGGGGCGCACCTCCGCGGATCTGGGCGCCCGCGCCACCCACGGATCCGGGGGAGAGGGGAAACTACTACGTGTTGTAATAAAATTATTTTTGTTGTTTTTGATATTTAAGAAGTGAAAAAAGTAAACTATGATAAATAAAAGCAACTAAGAAAATTAAATAACAATGAAGATAAATAATTGTAATGCAAAATCTATGGAATCAAATGTTGATTCCCTCGCAACGGTGCAAAAGTGATTGTTGCTCCAGCGTACTGTTGCTTGGCAGTATTTGTTGGCCCGCCAAGTGGTAAATGTTCCTCCATGAGAACTAATGTGTCATTGTGTGGAATCAAATATTTCCAAGCCCACCCCTGCACACAATTAGAAACTTTCTTGCGTCACCAACAAATATATTAAGGTTGTCAATCTCACCAATTTTCCTAGTTGCAACAAGTTATGAGCGTATCATATGGTTCTAAGTGCTTTTGTATTTTCAGAATAACTAATTGTGGAGAATATAAGTACATGTAGAAGTAAAGTGGTGGTTTTTGTTCGTGGATTTTTTTAACATTGTTTGTGGAAAATTGGGCTGGGTTTATAGGTTCACTAGTAGCGTCTTTCTCGTAAGCAACGACATGCGAATATAACTGTCGGTATCCGAGATAAATGATCATGACAATATGGCAAATCATATGATATGGTGTTGAAGAAATGTTATTTTTACACCAAACCATATGTTCTTTAAAACTCAAATTATTTGACTCCATTTAATTTACGAGTTAGAAGTACAATCCTAAACCCTGAATAGACTAGCGGTTTAAGCTAGCACCACAGTGTTCCGTTGAAGCATGTGTATTTCTAGCCGCTTTTGATTCGGAGCTTAGTGGAGGCCAATATGGGCCACTGCAGCCTCCCCCCACCCCCAGCCCATGCGATTTTCTCATACTAATCCTCAGTAAATGGAAACATTGAAATATAGCAAAAGCCTGCTTTATGCCACCCTCCAGCCCATTTGCCCCTCCTACTGCTTTAGGTCGTCCCCAGCCCATTTGCCCCTCCCCTATCCTATCATCGAAAGTTGATAGGGCAGAAATTTGAATGATGCTTCGCCGGCACGAAGGCCGTGCGATCCGTCAAGTTATCATGAATCATTGGATCAGCGAGCAGAGCCCGCGTCAGCCTTTTATCTAATAAATGCGCCCCTCCTAAAAGTCGGGGTTTGTTGCACGTATTAGCTCTAGAATTACTACGGTTATCCAAGTAGCACGTACCATCAAATAAACTATAGCTGATTTAATGAGCCATTCGCAGTTTCACAGTTTAAATTGGTTCATACTTGCACATGCATGGCTTAATCTTTGAGACAAACATATGACTACTAGGAGGATCAACCAGGTATCCTACTGCTTTAGGTCGCCCCCAGCCCATTTGCCCCTTGTATGGTTTGCCCAAGCTCTGCCACTTTGCCCCTCCTACGGTTTGGCCCAAGCTCCGCTAAATCTAGGTTGTTGGTTCGCTGAGTCATTGACTTAGCCCTCCACGAGTCTTCCAATTTTAGATCAACGACCTGGGTAATATTTCATGTTTTCAATTTTATTTCTATTCTTGTTTTGTGTTCAGTGTGTTTGAATAATGTGAAATACTGTAAGATAAATAAAATATGTGAATCTAAGTTGTCCGTTTTTATCGGGGGTTCACAGAAGCAAAGTCACGGCTGTAGTAGCCTGCAGAGTCAGCCCACCTTAGCCCATTTCCAGGGTGTTGATCTTATGGCATCGGACAGAGTCTTGTCCAACTATAGTCTAGGATGGCCTAAGATAGAACAGTAGTTTCTCAAAAAAAAAAAGATAGAACAGTACTGCTATGCCCACGAGTGACAGCCAAAACAACCATTGATAATCTATTATATATAAACATGATGGTAAGCACAATCGAACTCCAAACTATAACCAATCTATCAAAGCACATATATCACGCACGCCGCAATAGAAGTTCCACAGAGACACACAAATTTTTAAACACCACAAAATAAGGGAACAAACTATTGACAATATGGTGGAGCTCATGTAAATGCCTTTTTACGATATGTGCAGACAGCAGAGGTCAAGCAGATCCCTTGAGTTTCTTCGCGATGCTCGCAAAGTACTGGCCCTGGTGGAAGGCGTGCTCCAGCTCCATCTCAGATGGCCACCTCGAACCATCGGCGGCAAATGTGCCTGCGCCGTACGGGCTGCCACCCTGAACTTTGTCCATGTCGAACAGCTTGGCACCGAAGGTGTACCCGACGGGAACGAACACCATGCCGTGGTGAGTCAACTGGGTTACCGTTGTCAATCTGAGGGGAGAAGCGCGAAGAGAAATGATAAAAATGTCAATTTATGATGACGTTTCATTATGAGGCTTCTCTTTTTAAACACGACAATGCTGAATGACACTTACGCTGTAGTCTCCTGCCCGCCACCCTGAGTACCAGTGCTGAAGAAGATGCCTGCAGGTTTGCCTGCAAGACTCTGCTCCCTCCACAGGCCACCGGTTGCATCAAAGAAAGCCTTCATTTGTGCAGCCATCATACCAAACCTTGTAGGAAAACCAAAGAGGATCCCATCTGCCTCCGCAAGTTCTTGTGGTGTGATGATTGGGGCATCAAGCTTGGGAGGTGCACCCATCTTTCCAAGTACTTCCTCAGGGAGAGTTTCAGGGACCTTTCAGATGGTAAGAGTGATATAAGATCAGCACAACAATGGAGGAAGAGTGATGTATGTAAAAACTGCACTCAGTATTAATTTTCCACATAAGAATTCGAACAACTTAGTACACTATTCTTGAAGGCAACATAGCCAGACTGGTTTCTGGGGGGTCTAAATGCATATTATTATTTTTCAAATGATTGGTCTAAATACAATTTATAATGTGGTGAGTTAAAACGCGAGATGACAGGGACGAACCTGCCATATTTTAGCTTCGACGCCTTCAACTGACGACACACCTTTCTTTATCTCATCAGCTAGTTTAGCGACATGTCCATACATGGAGTAGTACCTGTGGAAGAATCAACAGTGCATTTTACAAATTTTCTCTATGAAAGTAGGAGTGTATAACGTTATTGTTCAATTTGACATATTTATTTGTGCATCCTTTGAGAATTTTATAGTCCACACATATCGTTGTTTTTCTATCTTTCTCCTTAAAGATAAGCATAATGATTGCTAACATTTATAGTGCCTATGTTCATATAATCATCACTCATACTATACAATTCAATTACTTGGAAGCAAGCTCTACACCTTTGCCTTAATTTGCAATTAACGGAAAGATATCTACAAAAAGAGAACAAGACATGTGCATGCAAAGCACCGATCAAAATTTTGTTATTTGCCGGAACTGATGACGAGGAAGGAAACATATTTCCCAGAATATCTCTTTCACTTTTCTATCATTCAAGAGAACATTAAATAACATGCCTGTAGTGGAACCACAAAAGTACATCATAGATAAGACTAATAAGCTCAAGGAAGTGACAAAACAAATAAAATTTAAATTATTTGAATGTGTTGTCAGGTGTAAATATGCATTAAAATATCCAAATGTTCCAAACTGCAGGGTTCCTGAGTTCCATAGTTGGTAGTTAAAAGTCCAGGTCAGAAATAATCTATACACATAGTTCTAAGATCTGAACTTGCATTAGGCAGGCCATAGAAAAGCTTCCATCAGATAGTGCTAAACCAGTCAGTTGTCTGCTGAAATAATTTAATTAATTACTTGAAAATGGGACATAACATGGTAAAAAAAGAATACAAACGCTGTTTGAAATTAAATTGTTATTCATCAGAGGGGCAGAGGATATCACTTCTTTCTGAAAAATCATTCACTCAAACATATGATTCGTTTGGACTTCACATTTCAGTTCATCATGCGACTGAAGCAATGAATTTGGAGCCAAAGAACTCGCAAATATCAGAAGTCTATAAATTCCTGTTCTTGTAGTTTGGTACTGTTTATCAGTTGGCCTTTAGCTCATACAAAAACAGAGTAGCATACATGAATGCCAGTGAGACACTAAATTCGGGGGCCAATCAGTGGAACTATAAAATTGGGGCAGAATCGCCCGGGTGCGCATTAAAAAAGCATTGAAAGAGGGCAGCACAATTAGCGCCGGAGCCCACCACTATTGACGCATCAATTCCATCAGGGACTGAAACCTACCGCCATGATTGAGACCCTGGCACCTAAAATCAACACTGTAGAATTATTAGGAGTCCGATTTTTCCTCCGACTCATTTTCTCCCTATCGCAATCAAATCGTCCGCGCGCACTGACGAAATCACATCTGCCAATCTACTGATCTTACCGACGAACAAAGGAATAAAAAACCAGAGCCGTGCGGCATCTAACTGACTATAAGTGATACTTAATCTCGGGAATTACTCCAAATGCGTAAATTAGGATGGGTTTCGAGATTGTCGAAATATCGTAATCCATAGGGGAAAAAAGAAGAAGGCCAATCTTCGGACAGGGATACACCGAACAAGACCGAGAAAATCAGTTAATTTAGGATGTGGACCTAGGTAGAAGAAGACTGTGGTGCGGATGCTTACACGACATAGACCTTGACCGCCATTGGAGAGGCTGCTTCGGAGCTCCTGGGGCTGGAGATCTGGCAACTGGAGAGCGGGCGAGTGTCCTGAACCGGTGCCCCTGCCTTCTTGGTGTCAGTTTGCGGTAGTGGCGAGCATTTATAGGCAGTGCGGTGTTGCTCTGGTTTGACCAGCGATGTTTGGTCAAGTTTTCTTTCTCTCGTTTTCCCGTTTAATTTGATAATTTGATTAATTCCTCTTACTCATTTGATTTTTCGCCTCTCCTTTGTTTTTTTTAGCGACGTCTCTCCTTTCTGAAATTTCAGGCGTTCTCTCGAAGTTTTTTCCGTGTCGAGTCTGCTAACCCCTTTCTCCTTCTTTCCCATAAATATCTTCTCGTTTAATTGAAAATTTTAGAAAAATGTTATTTGGAAAAAGTCAGTTTCCCAGCGAATGATGCATCCACCATCCGATTAAACGGCACTAATCTTGACGCGCGAAGA